GGCAAAAAAGAATGATACAATTTCATGACAGAAGTTTATAGACTAAGAGAAATAACCCAGACTTTTGTGTATCCATGATTTTGCAGAAGCATACAAACTTGTAGGGACTCAGATTTATCTATGACATAAAAAACAACGGAATATACAGAGATGACAGGATAATTTGCCTTCGTAAATTGAGACCAAGACAAGCGAAAAGGACCTAACTAAATCCTTTAAGGACCATAAACGGACATGAGAAAGGACATAACTAAATCCTTTAAGGACCATAAACTGAATATTACCACCAATACTAACGCTAATGTGATCAATTTCCTAGATGTTACATTAGATCTAAGTCCTGTATAAACCATACACTAAAGATTCATACAACTACAGGTATGTTGACAGACAATCCAATCACCATCAAAAAAGATTTTTTTACACAACTCGACCAACTCCAGTCACAAAATCAGTAAAACAACTATTTGAAAAAACAACCACTATTTTTTAGAAAAAAATAAAATAAAATTAAAAAAAATACTAAAGAACTTTGGATTATTTACCATTTGTGTTTATTCAACAACAGAGGGTTTATTTCCTGAACAGACTTTTCAGTTTATATATATTTATCTAGTGTGTGAGCATCTCAACACATATAGACTTTGTAGTTTTTTATATATCTATATACACATATATAATTCCATATAATATAGATTGTAACTTGATTGTTTTATTACATGTGCATATATAGTTTCACCTTTGTAAGTATAAGGTTAGGTTTAAAATGCATTATATATATTGTCTTAACATAAAAATTAAGTTAACATCAGGAGAGATAAGTTTCCATCTATATATGAACTTCTAATATATTTTTGTGCACATATATAATTTATTCTTTGTGTGCATTAACAGGAGAGCCTATTTTGTTTGAGACATTACTAATACAGGCTTTAAACAGACCAGAAAACTCTCTTATATCTGGGTATCTTTAGATGTGGGCAACTGAATGAGAACAATTTATTCCTGTAGGTTACATAAAAGTTTTCAGTTTTAAATATCCAGAAGGTAACTTGATTGACAGACAACAGAACAAAGCCAAAGAGTACAAGGGTGTGAGGATAGCAACAAAGGTGAGGAAATTAGTCTGAACATAAATGATTATCTTTATAATATAATTATTATTTAAAAATATGATTCCAAATATGGACAACACCTTATCTCAGAAATTCAGACATAAATATTACTGGGATATTGATTTCCAAATTACAAGGTAAATATTAAGAAAATCTACCTGTCCCACTTTTGGAGAGATGGTTTTATATAACGACAGCAAACTGTGAGGATAGCAACAAAAGGTGAGGAAATAGTTGAACATAAAAACTCATCTCAGAAAAGATCATTACTGGGATATTGATTTCCAAATTACTGTAATGAATCTACCTGTCCCTTTTAATTGGATACCACACCCTTATAAGATTCACAAACTTTGTCATTACTACTGTAATATCCTAATTGGATACCACACCCTTATAGCTTTGTGTAATATATCCTGGCTGTGTCAGTAGTGTCTTAGTTATACCAACTACATTCTCTGAAAAAGAAGTTACCCCCAACAAATAAGACACCTAACAAGTAAATGCTTAGAAACTAAAACCTAAATTATCAATATTTGCCTATTCCCAGACAAATATTTACACAACCTCAAACAAATTAAATGCTTACAAGATAAAATCTAAATAACCAATATTTACCTATTCTGGAACCAATTAAATATCAAAAGTTTCAAATATCATAATAATATTGGCACAACAAAGGTTGAAAAGACTCATAAATCACAGGTTTGGAGTTTTTATAATCATCCTCCAGTATGGCAGTGAATGTGGACAATCTGTTCACAGATGATGAAGAAACTTGAAGCAACAGAAATGTGGTTCTACAGAAGGATACTGAGAATAACATGGACCAACCATGTAAGCAACAACAAAAGTTTCAGAAAAAATGAAAACAAAAGTCACTTATACTTAACATCAAAAAGAGTTGAAATTTCTAGGGCACATAATGAGGAAAGAGGGCTTGGTAAATTTGATATGCACAGAACAGATTAAAGGAGGAACAGAGGAAAACAATGCATAATCTAATTAACAAGCTTGAGTAAATAGATAGTAGAATGGGGTTTAAGAGAGATAACAAAAAGATAAAATTTATTAACAGCTAAAAAAGACAGGAATTTGTGGAGAGCCATGATTCTAACATCCTGAAAGGACATGGTACGTAAAAGAACAAGAATATTATGTGTCACTTTAGGGCATGGGTGATCATGTTTATCCACAATTTTCTGTCCCCTGTATATCTAAACAACTTTCAGCACTTTTACTATCCCTCATTTTTCCTGATCTGCCACAAACTCATTAGGCAATTTATTTGCTGTTTCCCTTTGTCTCTCCTCCCTTCAGCATGTCCTGTGAGTGTTCAATTTACCAATCCCACTTTCCTCATAATGTGTTCAAGAAATTTCAATCAGTTTCTGATTATTTGTATTATGGAAGAACAGTCTTTTAGACATTTCCATTTCTTTGATGATTCTTTGGTGGTAACAGATCAGGTTATGAGTTTCAAGACATAAAAACAAAATACAAGACTTAAATTATTAATATTCACTTCACACTAAAGCATAAACCCACTTCTTCTTGCACTCTCTTGCCTCACCAGATATCTCAAGCTCTCATCACTGACATGCCACACTTATTGACAGAGAGGAGACTGATTCATTTTCTGTCTTATCAACCCAAAGCAAGTTATTTAAAGCTAGAAAACATTTTTAGATTGTAAAGTTGTTTTTTTTTTTGTTAGAGATAATGATTTAGTGGTACAAATCTTACTAATTCACCAATAGCTGGGGTGAAAAGAGGTGGATTAATACCTTTCCTAAAGATATATGTGTATAAGTGAATATCACAAATCTGTCTGATTAATAATTCTGAGTTATTATCCCTTACACCACGAGCATGTCCAAACTTACATCCCTGGTATTCTCAAGCAATCACTCATCTAGGTATTGACCAAGCCTGACATTGCTTAACTTTGGTGATTGTACAGGAACCAATTTTTCAATGTGATATAGCTGTAAACCAACAAACATCCTCATTTAGGTTTTACTTTATCACCAAGCCTCTGAAGTTGATATCCTGCAAAAAGTTAACAGATATTAACTATGCAGTGGACCTAGCTATCACTGCAGACACCATTACCAATGCCACAGTTCTCCTACATCATTTAGAAATTGCTACCAATGGTGTTGAACTCTATGTCAATGCCCCTAAAGGTGAATTCATAGGCTTTGGTGAGAAAGGTTCAATACAAACTGTCTCAGGTGAATCTTTTGTCAAATATTTTACATACCTAGGAAGCAACTTCTACTGAAAAGGTTGAGAAAATTCACATAGCTAAAGCCTGAGCCACTTTAAATAAATTGGTCATAATCTATAAATCTGATCTACCAGACATCCTCAAGCAGAGATTCTTTTGAGCCACTGTAGGGGCGGTGTTAATGTATGGTGCCACTGGCTGGACATTAACTAAAACCCTAGGGTCTAAGCTTCACGAAACCTACACTTGGCTGAGAGCTATACTTAACATTCATTGGAAACAATATCCAAGTAAATCACAGCTCTCTAAACCCATGCCTGATATTTTTACAATATTACGCAAATCCAGAATACATTTTGCAGGACAGTGCTCGCTGACAAAAGAAGAAATCATGAGTGATCTATGAGGAGGTTGTCTAGCATTCCCTGCCATAAAGGAGGACTGATATTACATCTTCATCTCCTTCATATTCCATTAGTAAGGAAGAAGTTACAATAACAGCTTTTTCCTCAGAATTGTTACATTGTAGAACAGACTCCCAAGAAAATGCATCCGTGTTCAATACAATCCTAACTTCTTTGTCAAGGGTCAGTTGTTATCCATCCTACATATCCCCATAATATGCACTTCTTACTTCCTCTCTTCAGTTTTCTTTTCTTTGTTTCTAATGAAATTTTCATTTTTTAAAATAATTTGCTTAGTTTTTAGAAGGCATCTTTCACTATTTCAATGGGCCTTTGCATTTTGGGGCCACATTTTCCATCCTAATTATCATTAATCCAAATCCGAACAGGAGATATGTACTATATATATATATATATATATATATATATATATATATATACATACATACATACAGGATGCTTGGCAATCTAAGGACCATTGTATATCATAGTTACTGCCTTAAAGTAAGTTAAATTACTGAAATATACTACAAGTTGGCATGACCAATCTGACACTCAATCATTTGGCCTAATCATTAATCGAGCACTAATTTCAATGAGAGCTGTTTATAGAATTCTTGGGTCACTGTATGGACTTATCACTACTGTTTGTTGTAGCAGTAAAATACTTCTTCTTGCTTTTGTGCATTTTATGATAACCTGCTGATGTTTAGCTACAGTTATGGCTCCAATGAATACAGGAAGTGCTTCTCATGGTATGAAGTGCAAAAACGCATTGTTCATAACAAGGTAGAACTTTTGAAAAAAAAACCTGACAGCAACATGCCTGTGCAAAGCTTATGTGATTTATATAGCATTGGCTCATTTTCATTTTCCTTACAATAAAGCAGAAAGAAAAATCACTAACCTGTCATCCAACTCTGGTCAAAATGAAGCCCAGTTGGTGGTGGCCAACCTGTCATTCTTCATATAAAATCTTTTATTTGTCGGTTGACTGCTTAGTGGCATATGGGGTATTTAATGCTGAAATTTAAATGTTTTCTATGCAATTATATTTTTGGAGATAATAATGGTTTAGTGATACAAGTATTACTAATTAACCCATAGTAGGTGTAAAAGAGGTAGATTCACAAATTTCCCAAGAGCATTTGTGCATAAGTGAATATAACAAACCCAAAAGGAATTGGAACTCGACTCTCTATTTAACAATTCTGAGCCATTATCTATTGCACCACCCACACATTCAAGCTTACAGCACCTGGTATTCCCAAATAGTCACCCATCGAGGTACTGACCAGGCTCAACCTTGCTTAACTTTGGTGATTGTGGAACCTCTTTTTGAATGTCAATTATGATACAAAACACCACCAATAGGCCAATTTCAAAATGGAAACATTAAAATTTTAACGGTTTTAAAACATATCATAAGTCAATAAATAAGCAAGAATTAAATAAATAGATGAAGTTTTTTTTTTTATACTACTGTTCATCCAATACATGGCTCAAGAGCTACTGAAGGTAAAACATTATTGAGGTTGTTGTATGGAAGTAAAGGTAAATAGTAACAAGTGCATATTGTTATTAGAATATGTAGGATAGATAACAGTTAAGCATAGACTTGAATAAATAAGGACCATACTGATCAAGTCTGCATCTTCTTGGGAGTCTGTGACACAAGGTAAAGCTGATAGTGGAACTTGCTCCTTACTAATGGAATATGAAGGGAATGAGGATGAGTTGACCCTGTGTAAGTGATATGGCAGGTCCTAGCTAAAAATGTCTGAATTAGTGGAACTAAGGAATGTAGCTCATCTGAATATTTGCCATAAAAATAGTGATAAAGTAATGAGAGGCTAGCAATGTTTGCCTGTGGGAAAGGAATTGTAGGGTGGTGATAATTCATCACCCACAAGGCTGTGTAAATGTTTTTAAACTTCATTAGGCAAAACAAAGTGAGGATGAGGAAGCTCTAACCCAGATATGGCAGCTATACTCCATTTTTGGCCCAATCTCACTCTTGTAAGGAAAGAGTCTGTCAGGAGAAGTCTGGTACTTTCTGGAGTAGGACATGAAGCCAACCATTTTTCCAGCAAATAATTTTGTATGGAATAGGTTTTACTCTTAGATTTCTTGAAATGCTGAAACCTTTTGGATAAACATGCAAATTTTTTTGCTGAAAGACATGTCAATGTTCCATTTGATGTTGATAATTTCAGATAGTTGATGAGCAGGTGAAAAATGTTTAACCAGTTAATTTATATTTGTGATTGAGTCCTTAGAACATTAGCATTCTGACTCTGAGACTCTAATTGAAAATTCACCATAGGTGATTTGTCAGAGAGGTGACTTCTTGATAATATAAACATAGGGAGATGGTTCCAGCAAGTAACACAAGTAGGAAGTGCCTGAAAACCATACCAGTTGTTGACCCAAGTCTTGGGAGTGAAATTGGGTAGATGAGACTTTTCATAAACTATAGATGGTTGTGACCAAGCATACTTACCATGTTCAAACTTGACCATATATAGTTACTGTATCAACCACAGGTTGGCTCTGTGGGTGCTGAAGCAATACAACTGGACCTGAGCAGTAATTTGCAACAGAAATTAGTTAGCCACCCTAGCAGACAGGCTTACAAGTAGCCAGCCATAAAATGGAACCAAATATTCTCTGTTGGGTTCAAATCTGGATTCTGATCTGACAAAATCTTGGATTTGATGAGCTTGTTCTGATATAATGTTTTGATGGCCCTTGCAGCCTTGGCCTTGTTGGAAAATAAAATTAAATTACTCTTTGTAAGAAAAACCTTTTAGTAACAGGAAGCAAGCCTTTCTTCAATATTCTTCTGTATTCCAAAGGATTGACTTTTCACAGACTTCTTCGATTATACAGTTGTGAAATGAATAGAAAGCTAAAATCATTTCAATTATTTGAACACATCTAAATATTTCAAGATTTTAATGAACAATTTTCAGCATTAAAAATCAGTGTAAGTGAAGCAAAAATTAATGACTGTTTCAATCTAGATGGACCTGGATATGAACACCCAAATAACCAGGGTATTGTTGGGCTTATAACTGTGTTGGAAAATGTTGAAAAATAGGAGGGCAATAATTATATTGCACCTGTTGAAGTTCAACAACCCCAATGCCCAATTTTAAATACTGAAACAATAATTACACTTGAAAAATGGTTTAGTTGGTTAAACTTTTAATTAGAAATCACCCTTACAAATCCATTTATTTCAACTTTGGGAGTTAGTGGCAGAAAAATGTGAAACAGGCAAAAACTGATGCATTTTTTTGTAAAAATAACTGGAAAAACCTTGAACAAAGCATTATGAAATATAGTTTGACAATACGAATGCTATATTTGTTTCAGAAAATGTCTTCTTCATTCTTTTTTAATAAGTTAGGTATTGATTGATTGATTGATTGATTGATTGATTTTCTACAGCTTATCAACCCATTGCAGGTTATTTAAAGCCAGAAAATATTTTTAGATTTTAAAAATGTTTTTTTTAATAGATAATAATTGTTTAGTGATACAATCTTACTAATTAACCCATCGATGAGGGGAGAAAAGGAGAATTCATACCTTTCTTAAGAGTATTTGTGTTAAGTGAATATAATGAACCAAAAAGAATTGAAACTCAGCTCTCTGATTAACAATTCCAAGCCATTATCCATTACACTACACACACATTCAAGCTTATAGCACCTGGTATTCACCAAGTGGTCACCCATCTAACGACTGACCAGACTCGACGTTGATTAACTTCGGTGATAATAAAGTATTTAATGTGATTTGACCATAAGCATATGGTAAATTAGGCATCGGAAATTGAATTACCCAAATATATTTTTTCAAGCCCTGTCCTAAGGCGTCCAGATAATTGCAGAAGTACTCCACAGGGTTTGGCCCATTTTTTTTAATTCAAGAATGTGAATGAATGATTAAATTATTAAATGTTGTCATTTTCTTACCCTAGATTTCTGCTCTGCAGTTGTTATGATTATTGGCGCTTTCTAAGTTGGTTAACTATTTGGAATTTTTGTAAATGTTTTATCAGGAGATGCAAAAAATGCTGCAGAATAACTACTTCTTGAAAATATGATTCAAGAGATTTTTATCTGATATTTCTGTAGATAAAAAAGAAAAACAAACATGTTGTTGCAAGTCAAAAAAAAAGTGAAGAAATGCCTTAAGTGATACTTCAACTGCTGGTCTGTATCCAGGGCTGGAATTCTTGCCAAGTTAAAATGAGATATGTGGTACTCATTCTAAGAAGAAACAGAATTGAAATGTACAATTGGAACAAAATTTACTTCTCAGCTGTTAATATTGTCAGTTTCTTTCTTTTTGTTTTTATTACGAAACATACAAATGCCAGCCAATTATACAATTATTCTGTTTGTTTCTATATTTCTATGACTGTTAGGCCTTTGCAAATGGGACCAAACTCAAGAATTGTTGCTCAACTGACATCACCAATGGAAGTGTCAGTTGTCAGAGTATTTGAGCAGTTAATATCATAATACCCCCTCCTTTTTTATCCTTAATACCTCCCCACTTATTTCTTTCCCTCTAAATACCTCCCCACTCATTTATCTATCCACTCATTGTTTATTAATACAGTCCCAATCTTTAACATCTCCCAAATTTCTCTCTTAGTATCTCTCCCATTCTCTCTTTTTAGTATCTCCCCCATTCTCTCTTTCATAGTATCTCCCCCCCATCTCCCCATTCCCTCTTTCATAGTATCTCCCCCTTAGTATTCTCTCTTTCATAGTATCTCCCCATTCCCTCTTTCTTAGTATCTCCCCCATTCCCCCCTCTTTCATAGTATCTCCCTCTTTCTTAGTATCTCCCCATTCTCTCTTTCTTAGTATTCCCCATTCCCTCTTTCTTAGTATCTCCCTCTTTCTTAGTATCTCCCCATTCTTTCTTAGTATCTCCCTCTTTCTTAGTATCTCCCCCCATTCCCCCTTAGTATCTCCCTTTCTTAGTATCTCCCCATTCCCTCTTTCTTAGTATCCCCATTCCCCCTTAGTATTCCCTCTTTCTTAGTATCTCCCCATTCCCTCTTTCTTAGTATCTCCCCCATTCCCTCTTTCTTAGTATCTCCCCCATTCCCTCTTTCTTAGTATCTCCCCGATTCACTCTCTTTTACTTAATATCTTTATATTTACCCTTTCTTAATAACTCCCCAGTCTCTCATTTTCTTAATATCCTGATATTTTATTTTTAGCCTAATATTTTAATTTATTTTCTTTAGAAATTTTATGTATCTAAATTTTTTATTTTACAATATATCTAACAGCTTGAGTTTGTCAGTAATTACAGAATATAAAAGAAATGCTGAAAAATTCTCAGTTTCACCTAATTCCTTAAAATTCTCCTTGTTTAAGTTGGTAAATGTTGCCATAATCCTTGCCTTCATCTTTGGTGTTACAAGGAGTTTTGTTCGTCTCATACTTAAATGTAACCCACACACAATAATCAAAGGGTTTGCAGTCTGGGGAATTAGGTAAACAGATGTATGGGGGTAATGTGTTAGCAGAAATTGTCTGACAACCATGACTGGGTTCTCCTGCATGTGTGGTATGGTTAGAATCCTGTTACCAGACATAGTGCCTTCCAGCAGCCACTCTCTTGACTGAGGGAAACACTACCTCCTCAAGGTACTTGATGTAGGCCAGAGTGTTGAGTCAAAATTTGGGAGTCTTTTAATTATCAGAATCATCAGAGTGAGTTTTGTGAGCTGCTGTATCTTTGTAATCACCATTAGCCTCTTCCAACTCTTTCTGAATCCTCTGAACTATTGTCAGATTGACACACAAACACTGAAATGTTTGTAGTGAAGCTTCTGATACAAATGCACAGTAGTACAGCATGCCATTTCCAAATTTCTGGCAGAGTGAATTGTTTCATGGTGCTCTTTTTCTCACAGATGGTACCAAACTAACCCTACTTTACTGTGCAATCAACAAAATCAAAAACAAACAATGTGCATGCACAAAATTAAAAATATAAAATGGTGACAATTTACCCAGTATAGCCTCTCTCTCTCTCTCTCTCTCTCTATATATATATATATATACCCAAGTATAGAATAGGTGTATATGGAATTTATATAAATTTCAATAACTAAAAAATACTATTCTTAAAAGAGTGCTCAATACAGAGTAGAACAAATATAATTATTTATTCAAAAATTATAACATAGATATGTTATAAAATCACTACAAAAATAGCCATTTTGTTTCAATACTTCTGGTGTCTTAACAAGTGATGGTGTTGAATGTATTATAAAAGCTTTTA